CGGGCCCGGGGTGGGGGGCAATGTTCCCTCTAAGCTGCGGAGTCTTGTGAGCAAAAATTCTACTTTGTGAGCTGCTGGCATTAAAGTTGTGAGCGAGGCATTTGGCTACTGCATAAATCAGTTTGCTCTGGAGCCCTCCTTCCTGAGCTGAGACAAAAATGTGTGAGCTGGAGGCTAAAAAACCGTGAGCTAGCTCACACTAACTCATAGAGGGAACACTGGTGGGGGGCACCTGAAAGACCATGGGGGGGGGGGGCCAAGTGCTCCCTCTAAGCTGTGGAGTCTGGCGAGCAAAATTTCGACTTTGTGAGCGAGCGATTGGACTGCTGCATAAAGTTAGTTTGCTTTGGAGCAGTGTTTCCTCTAAGCTGGGGGGTCTTGTGAGCAAAAAATTCTATTTTTTTGTGAGCTCCTGGCCTTAAAGTTGTGAGTGAGCACACAGGGAAGAAACGTAGAAAATCTCTAGCCGCTAGAGTTCTTGAAAACTTTCAGAAAGGAGTACGTGAATCACGGGAGAAGGATAGGTCTGTTCCACAGCTAAAAGCCATGACCGCAAATCGGAACCTCCATGGACAGAAGCAGGATAGCTCTAAATACTCAGGGATCCAACCAGTGCTCCCTCTAAGCTGTGGAGCCCTGTGAGCAAAACTTCAACTTTGTGAGCTACTGGCATTAAAGTTGTGAGTGAGCCATTTGGCTACTGCATGAATTAGTTTGCTCTGGTGTCATCCTTCCTGAGCCGAGACAAAAATGTGAGAGCCAGAGGCTACAAATCTGTGAGCTAGCTCACACTAACTCAGCTTAGAGGGAACACTGCTCTGGAGTGAGCTGAGGCCAAAATGTGTGAGCCGGAGGTTAAAAAACTTTAATGCCACACTAACTCAGCTTAGAGGGAACACTGCGTGGGAGCCGCCAGCTAATAAAAGGTAATTAAATTATTTGTAAATTGATTAGTGGGACTCCTTGGAAGCGGGCCTTCCCCTAATAAGGCAGCACTGTACCCCTGGCCAGGCTCCAGGGCAAGTGGAGGGGGGGAATGACCAAGGCACTCATAGTGTTCAGTTTTCTGCCAGGCAAGTCAAAGGTGGTGAGTTGAGGCACTTTGGTGCCAGCCTGGGAGGTGCCCAAAAGAAATGCTAGGGGGCCAGGCCCCACGGGCCCCGCGTTAGCTGCACTAACTCAGCTTAGAGGGGACACTTGGGGAGCCCATTAATGTTCCCTCTAAGCTGTGGAGTCTTGTGAGCAAAAATCCTGCTTTGTGAGCTACTGGCATTAAACTTGTGAGCGAGCGATTTGGCGACTGCATCAGTTAGTTTGCTCTGGAGCCCTCCTTCCTGAGCTAAGGCAAAAATGTGTGAGCCGGAGGCTAAAACACCGTGAGCTAGCTCACACTAACTCAGCTTAGAGGAAACACTGGTGCCCATGCCAGTCTCCAGGTGGGACCTGGGGATCCCCTGGAGAAAATGGGTGCTTGGGAGGGTGGACTCTCCAGCGCGGATCCTACCAATCCGTGTCTTCCCCAAACTCCAAATCTCCAGTAGTTTGCGGGATCACATGAACACACATGAAACTGCCTTATACTGAACCAGACCCTGGGTCCATCACAGCCAGGATTGTTGACTCAGACTGGCAGCGGCTCTCCAGGGTCCCAGGCAGAGGTCTTTCCCATCACCTGCTACCCGATTGCTTTAATTGGAGATGCTGGGGATTTAGGGGGTCAGACTAGATGACCCTGGAGGTCCCTTCCAGCTCTATGATACTATGAACCTGGGACCTTCTGCATGCCAAGCAGATGCTGTACCACTCAGCCACAGCCCCCCCCCAAAAAAAATCCCCTGCTGATGGGTGGGGAAGGCTGGCACCCCTATTAGGAAAAACTTTTTTCACGGTCAGAGTGGTTCAAGGGTGGAATCAGCTGGCTAGGGAGGTGGTGAGCTCCCCTTGACTCAAAAATGATGGTCACGGTCACAGAACAGACCGCAAAAAGAAGAAAGAAACTGTGAGGTAACTGCGCTAGATAATATTTCAATAATAATCACAAAATTGTACAGAAATGTGTGCAGAAAATTATATAAATATACAAGACAATAGAAAATGATGTGTTGACGATGGTCTCCGGAATGCTCTATCGTTTCAATACTACTCTTCTTCCGAGAGTGAATGAAAATTCACTTAATAATTGCAAGAATTTCTCTGACAGAATGTTCCTGGGGCAAGGTGCTTGTATATTGCCCCAGGAACATTCTGTCAGAGAAATTCTTGCAATTAAGTCATGCTACATCGGTGAATATTATGGATTTTTGATACCTACTAGTTGAAAAGACAGACCAAGAGTCGCTGTTTTCATTCACTCTCGGAAGAAGAATAGTATCGAAACGATAGAGCATTCCGGAGACCATCGTCAACACATCATTTTCTATTGTCTTCTATATTTATATAATTTTCTGCACACATTTTTGTACAATTTTGTGATTATTACTGAAATATTATCTAGCGCAGTTACCTCGCAGTTTCTTTCTTCTTTTTGCGGTGAGCTCCCCTTGACTGACAGCTTTCAAGAAGAGGCCGGACGAATATTTGTCAGAGATGCACTAGGCTGGTCCTTCATTGGGCAAGGGGGCTGGACTAGAGGGTCTGTCTGGCCCCTCCCGACTCTGTGATTCGATGATTCAGCTGCCTCCAAGGTCTCTGCCTCCAGCAGTGGGCCAGTTGCCACAGGCTTCCCCTGCTTTGGGTGCCATAGTCTTGCCAGGTTACAATCCTGTGCACAGCAGCTGAGCTGATCTCTGACCAAATATGTATTATTTATTTATTAATTAAATTTGTTCCCCGCCCTCCCTGCCGAAGCAGGCTCAGGGCGGCTTACATAACAAAAAATTTAAACCAGCATAAAACCTGAAGTGCTATACATCCATACTTTTCCTATACGGCGGCGAACAGTGATCCAGCATTGCCAGTATTCATAACAAGAAGGAGGAGAGATTGGTGATTTATACCCCGCCCTTCACTACTCGAAGGAGTCTCAGAGCAGATTACAATCTCCTTTCCCTTCCCTTCCCCACAACAGACACCCTGTGAGGGAGGTGAGGCTGAGAGAGCTCTTGACAGAAACTGCTCTTTTTCAAGGACAGCTGTGCCAGAACTATGGCTTGCCAGAACTATGGCTTGCCCAAGGTCATCCAGCAGCTGCGAGTGGAGGAGTGGGGAATCAAACCCGGTTCTCCCAGATTAGAGTCCACCGCTCTTAACCACTACACCAAACTGTCAAGAGTCGGTCAGTACAACAATGGCAATGGAAAAGGTCCCAGGGAAGGCTCTAATGTTCTATCCAGGTGTTAAATGTGGTCAAACGCCTGGTGGAAGAGCTCCGTCTTGCAGGCCCTGCGGAATTGTAGTAAGTTCCGCAGGGCCCTGGTCTCCTCTTTAGGGCCACAGAGAAGGCCCTAGCCCTGGTCTGGCCTCTTTAGGGCCAGGGAACACTAGGAAATTTTGTGTCCCCAGTTTTGTTCCTTGAACGCAGTGCTTTCTGGGGAACATGTGAGGTCAGGTCCGCTGGCCCCTGACCATAAAGGTAAGCACCAGTACCTTGAAGCGATTTCGGTATGCTCTAGGTGTAGGATTGGGCTGCAGACTCCTGTCGGATGAAGTGACCTTCCTTGTGAATCAGAACAGAGGATGCTGGGGCGGACGTTGGAGGCTCTCTTGCAGTATGTGTGAAGTGTCCTTCTAACGCCCTCATAAACATCCTGTCGTTAACGGCCTTGCTCAAGGTCTTGCAAAGGGAGGGCCGTGGCTTCCTTGATAGAGTCAGTCCGTCTCATCTATTAGCCACAAGGTCTAGATAGGAACTCTCGGTCTGGGGCAAGTGATTCTTGGTGCTGGGGGGGGCAACAGTGGGGGGGCTTCTAGTGTCCTGACCCCACTGCTGGAGCTCCTGAGGGCACCTGGTATTTCTGGCCACTGTGCGACCCAGAGTATTGGACTGGAGGGGCCTTTGGCCTGATCCAACATTGGCTTCTCTTATGTTCTTATATGGAGCAGAGGTCCATCAGTGGCTATTAGCCACAAGGTATAGAGAGGAACTCAGTCTGGGGCAAGGGATGCTCTGTATCCTTGGTGCTTGGGGGTGGGGGGCAACAGTGGGGGGTGCTTCTAGTGTCCTGACCCCGCTGCTGGACCTCCTGATGGCCCCTGGTATCTTTGGCCACTGTGTGACAGAGTGTTGGACTGGATGGGCCTTTGGCCTGATCCAACATTGGCTTCTCTTATGTTCTTATATGGAGCAGAGGCCCATCAGTGGCTATGAGCCACAAGGTATAGATAGGGACTCTCAGTCTGGGGCAGGTGATGCTCTGTCTTCTTGGTGCTTGGGGGTGGGGGGCAACGGTGGGAGGGCTTCTAGTGTCCTGGCCCACTGCTGGACCTCCTGATGGCCCCTGGTGTTTTTGGCCACTGTGTGACACAGAGTGTTGGACTGGAGGGGCCTTTGGCTTGATCCAACCTTGGCTTCTCTGATGTTCTCTTATGTCTTCCTCTTTTCCTCCTTCCTTTTTCCTAGCATGGTTGCCTTCTCCAGTGACTCTTGTCTTCTTATCCTGTGACCAAAGTATGGTAGCCTCCGTTTAATCGTTTTGGCTTCTAGGGAGAGTTCAGGCTTGATTTGATCCAGAACCCGCTGATTTGCCTTTTGGGCAGTCCAGGGTATCCGTAAAACGCTCCTCCAGCACCCCATTTCAGAGGAATCAACTTTCTTCCTGTCCACTTTCTTCATTGTCCAACTTTCACACCCATACATAGTAATG